GGAGCGTTGACTGTCTGTCGGAGTCACGTTCGCCTGAGGTCGGTTGTTGTTGTTGTTGTTGTTGTTGGATGAATTCCTGCTGCTGCTAGAATATGGTAGCTGCTGAGAAGATGATGCTGTTGTTGTTGTTGTTGAAGACGATGATTGTTGTGTGGGTGGAGACGGTGAGACCAGGGGTGGGGGTGGAGGCGGGGGAGGCAAGGGAAGGGAATCCCCCTCCCTCTCCCCTTCCAACACGTGGCCATCACCGGGAGACGCAGACACAGGCACATGACAGTTCGACGAGCCTCCACCGCAGTTAGCTGTAGCGCAGCACGGGTCGCCCGCCGCACACCCCTCTCCACCCACCCGCACGATCCCGCTGTGGGACTTGGCCTCACTCCCGTGCCCCGAGTCCCTGTCGTTAGCTGCACTCTCTTCCTCCTCTTCCTCCTCCTCCTCGCCACACACCCTCCTCCGGCCCCCCTGCCCACCACATACATGGTCCACGCCCTCCATCAGGCGGCCCGCTACGTCCCCGTCGTCAGCCCGGCGGTCCCCCGCCACCAGGCCAATCACATCACCCGTCGAGCGGTCGATCAACACGCCCCCGATCTCATCCACCAGCAGCCCGTGGTCCATCAAGGCATGGTCCCAGCCACTGCCCGCGTCGTTCTGATGGTGGCCCAGGCTACTGTCCGCTCCGCTACTGCCCCCGGGCGAGTGGGTGGGGCTGGATGAGCCCGCCGTGGGATGGCCCGCCCTCCCGCCGCCCAGCATGCCCGCCCGCCGACAGCCCGTCCCGCTGTCCTCGCTGCTGTGGTCCCCCAGCTCGTCCTCCGCCCTCTCGATGCCGTCCTGCGAGGACATGATGATGTGGTCGTGGCGTCCCGTCAGAGCCAGGGTGTTGCCGTCAGTGGAGGCCAACATTGCTGCCATCAGTCCCTGCAACTCCTGCAGCAGAACGACAACAATGCTTTCTTTTAGTTTCACTAACGTTTGAGTTTAGTTTCAGTAACGTTTAGTTTAAGTTTAGTTTCAGTAACGTTTAGTTTAAGTTTAGTTTCAGTAACGTTTAGTTTAAGTTTAGTTTCACTAACGTTTGAGTTTAGTTTCAGTAACGTTTAGTTTAAGTTTAGTTTCACTAACGTTTGAGTTTAGTTTCAGTAACGTTTAGTTTAAGTTTAGTTTCACTAACGTTTGAGTTTAGTTTCAGTAACGTTTAGTTTTAGTTTCAGTAACGTTTTAGTTTAGTTTCAGTAACATTTTACGGCGCTCGCAACTGCATACTGCAGAGATGCCAAACGATTTTTGAAAAATAACCTGAAAATGAGCTGAGAATCACACCTCACCTAAAACGAACCTTGTCAAATCTTTCAATGAGCAAACAAAAACATTTCTCTCACCATTCCCCTTTCCTTTGCAAGTGTAGGAAAAAAACGGAAAAAGCCGGAAAAACCGGAGATTTGGCATCCCTGACACCGTCATATGAGCGTAAAGGGGTGTTTTAGTTTTAGTAAGGTTTTACGGTGCTCACAACTGCATAAGGTCAGATGAGCGCCAAAGGTTGGGTTTCAACAGCGAAGTCCAAACAGGGAATCAGACTTACTCTGCTCACCTCTCTGGCCTCAACAGCACAAGGTCTGCTTCGACTATCAAGGCACCCCGGAAATAGCGGGTCACAAGAGAGTGACAAACATACAAAAGAAGTAGAGGAAAAAATGACGATAGTAAGGATTAGGGGGAAAAAAAACAGCAGTTCCCCCCTATGTTGTTCCAGCACAGTGTGAGCATGACATTGATAAATCAGCCCCAAGAACATGTCAATATCCCCCCCCCCCCTCCCCAGAGAGAGAGAGAGAGAGAGAGAGAGAGAGAGAGAGAGGGAGAGAGAGAGACAGAGAGTGAGAGAGTGAGAGAGAGAGAGGGAGAGAGAGGGAGAGAGGGAGGGAGAGGGAGAGAGAGAGAGAGAGAGAGAGAGAGAGAGAGAGAGAGAGAGAGAGAGAGAGAGAGAGAGAGAGAGAGAGAGAGAGAGAGAGAGAGAGAGAGAGGGAGGAAGAAATCTCACCTCGGAGTTATTGCTGCTGTTTAAGTCCCCGTGCGAGCCCGTGTGTAGAAGGTGGGCGGGCGGCCGGTGGTTGCCCTTCACAAAGCCGTTGAGGCGCAGGCCGTTGGGGGCACTCCCAATGTCGCTGCCACCTTTGGAGTCCGACTGCTCGTTCTCGGGGATCTGCGCCGCCCGGAACAAACACATAACACTTTTCTTACATTTTTGGCTTTTGTCATAATTTTAGTTTTACTAAGAGTTTTACAGCACTTGCAACACAAAAAGGTCATACAAGTGCCAAAGATTAGAGGTGTTACAAGAGAGTAACAAGCATAAAAAAGGAAGGAGGAAGAGAGATCAGGACGATAGATGTTTGATAAGAAAGAAGGAGCAGACCACACCAGAACACCCGTCAACCACCCACGTCATAATGTTACGGCACTTGCAACACAAAAAGGCCACACATAAATGCCTGAGATTAAAGGTGTGACCAAAGAATAAAAAACCAAGAAAAGAAGGAGGGGAGATAAGAACGACAGATGTTTGATTGGAAAGAAGGAGCAGACCACAGCAGAGCACCCGCCAACCATCCAAGACACGTTGTGTAAAAAGAATCACATTGATACAACCACAATCATCCAGCACATAGAGAAAGTGAGGCACACTGAAACAGTTTTAGTTTTAGTGAGAGTTTTACGGCACTTGCAACACAATAAGGTCATAGAAGTGCCGAAGAATAGATTATGCGTTACAAGAGAGTAACAAACACAAAAAAGAAGGAGGTGAGATAAGGACGACAGATGTTTGATAGGAAAGAAGGAGCAGACCACACCAGAGCACCCGCCAACCGCCCACAGACTGAAACAGCAGAGGGAAAAACTACAGTTGGACCAAAAAAAGTGGCACCCTCCAACCATCCACACCAACTGTGACAGCTACGCTCACTCACCCATGTGCCTTTTTAAAAGTTAGGCATACAGAAATGACCTACAGAAATGACCTACGGGAAAGAAAAACAAGTTGGACCTACCAGTGGCGCCCTCCAGCCACCCGCAACAACAGAAAATCACTACAGCTGATGTCTTTGAAGTTTTAGTCAAACGTTTTATCGGACGTACAACACAATAATAAGGTCGTATGTGAAGCCTGCAGTCTAAATTTCCATTTCGTTTTCGAAAGAGTTTTACGGCACTCGCAACACAATAAGGTCATATTATTAAGTGCCCAAGATTAGAGGTGTTACAAGAGAGTAACAAACACAAAAAAGGAGGAGAGATAAGGACGATAGATGTTCGATAGGAAAGAAGGAGCAGACCACAGCAGAGCACCCGCCAACCACCCACTGCTGCTTCCCGAGAGCAGACAGACAGTTTTACCTGCGGCAGCATGGGAGACGACTCCAGGTTCCTCATCTCCATCTGACCCCCGCCCGCAGGAAGTGTCATGTGGTGGGCTTGGCCGTTGCCGGGGCGGTGAGGGGTCAGGGAGGTCACGTGGCCGTTGCCCGGGTAGATGGGGGCGTGACTCGTGTTGGGGTCCGCATCTCTCCTCACGCACCTGGTCCAAACATCACAACAACAACATTAATAATAACAATAACAACAACAATAATCATAATAATATTTTATTTTTTTATGTTTTTAAAAAATAATAAAATAATAAAAATAATAAGAATGATAAGAATAAGAATAATTTTTTTTAAAGAAATAAAAATAATAACAATAGCAATAATAAAATAATATATAAAAATAATAATCATAACAGTAGCAACGTAAAAGATTTTTAAAAATAATGATACTAATACTGATAATAATAGACAAAAATGATAATAAATAATAGATAAAACAACAATTCTAAACTGACAATAATAATCCAAATAATAAACGATGATCACAGAACAAGAACAACAACAACAACGCTAACAATACTACCACACGTACTAATACTGCTAATTGCAACAACAACGCCAACAATACTACCACACGTACTAATACCGCTATTTGCGAGTACGTAGCATCCACTGTATGCGCGCCCGCACACACACACGCACACACACCCCACCCCCTCAAGCTGTTTTTATCACGAAATAAACTCTAAACGTGGGAGACAACTGCTTTGACAAGAAACTCCCCCCCCACCACCAAGAACTGTCAGTGGATTTCCCTGTACTGCCCCGTGGGTTTTCTCTCTTTTCATTTCGCTCAGTTAGTTTTTAGTTTTAGTAAGAGTTTTACGGCGCTCGCAACTGCATACGGTCATATGAGCGCCGAAACAAGTTGGTTTTATTCGCAACAGTTCACCGCACTGCCTGATTTTGGTCAAAATTTCTATTAAAACGTTGAAATGCTAAAAATTCGAGGTAAAAAAATCTATAGTTTAAAACAATTTTTTACATAACTGAAAATTTTAAACGTTATTCATAATTTTCCATAATCAAGGATTCTGTTGGGATCAACGACGGAAAACAGATCTTGTAATTTTTAGCATTTAAAATATTTCCTCCAGGTCTATCCGAAGTCTACACATTCTGTTAAAATGTGTCTAATGATAAAATCTGTGTCGCATCCGACAAGGAATGGCTTATCTCCCTGAAGGAGGTATTTATATGTTAGGGTCGCGACGTCCGATGCGTAATCGAGTAAAGTAAAAATGACTTCCTTTCTTCTGGAGAGGCCGGAAGGTGTTCGTGTACCCAGTTTGGGCTTAATGTGTGGTTTGTTGTTTATTTGATTCTTCCTGGAGTCTCCCACAGACTGGACATTTGGCTCAGAAAACGCTTCCCACAGCGCCTGGGGCTACCATGAAACCCACACACATTTTCGGCAGATATATTGAATGAGCCTATTTAGGAGGTGGGCTTCCAAGTCTGCCTGGGAGAGCCAACCTGGCCTGAGAGGGACACATCACAATTCAACAGGCAAAAAAAAATTATTTAAAAAATTTTTTATATAATTTTTTAAACAGAGGGCTTCCATCTTATCAGAGAACTTGCTAGGTATGCAATAGGGACAAGCAATGACGGATGGGATCCGATCCCCCTACCTCCTGTGACACAGCACAACAGCCACACAGATGGCGACACACAAGAGGAGCCCCAGAGTGATGCCCACAATGAGGCCAATCTTCTCGTCGCTCAAACCCTCGCTCGCCGCAACGTCCAGTTTCTCCGTCGTGGTTTCTGAGGACACACACAGGACAAATGAAGGAGGGTTTGTTTGTTTATTTGGGGGGGTGTTATAGTAGAGGGTTTTACGGCGCTCGCAACTGCATAAGGTCATATGAGCGCCAAGGGGTGGATGTCAACAGAGAAGTCTTTACAGGGAATCAAACTTAGACTGCTCACCTCTCTAGCTTCAACAGCACAAGGTCTGCTTCAATTACCAAGGCACCCCGGAAATAGCAGGTCACAAGAGAGTGACAAACATACAAAAGAAGTAGAGGAAAATGACAATAGTAAGGATTAGGAAAGAAAAAGCAGCAGTTCCCTGTTGTAGATCAGGCACAGTTATGAGCGTGACATGATGAATCAGCCCATTTACAATTTTACTGTGCATGAACGAGAAATGTCCCCCCATGGGGAATGACAAACAAACGCATTATCTCCTGAATCCTACATTCCTAGAATATCTCCTGAATTCTACAAGAGTATTGCTGCTAACTTTTCAAAACCAAACGACAAATTCTACCCCCACTCCCCCACATCCGTGGGGTCTGGCCAAGTAACCCCCTTCCAAAACCTTCACACACTTTTCTCTGCATTTCACAAATTCCTACTCAACAGTCAACTATGATAAAAGGAACACAACTACAATTGGCACAAGGGCATCGTTTTCATAAATATTCCGAATCGCATCTTGAAAGTACATGATTTTTTTTTTTTTTAGCAGTAACAAATTCACAAGTTAATACTACAAAAACAGAGAATATCTTATTTTCCCCCAACACTATTACAGATTTCCGTACTCAAACCATCACATATTAAATCCATTTTTCCAATGTACAGACTGGCAGCTATGTAAAAATACTACATAAAACATTTGGTGACATTTCCATCAGTCAAACCAAGAGCAAAAAAACAAGGCGGGTTCATCGGGTTCATCGTTGACTTCAGAATATTTTAAAAACTTACAAAAAACAGTTTTTTTTAAAATCAACGCCGAAACTTTTGAACAAGAGAAAGAATATAAACATCTTGGAAAAAAACGTTTGATGAGAAGCTACAAAGGTCAACTCAAACAGCCAATGCACTCAAAAGGATTAGTCGAGGGATGTACAGAACAGATTTCACGCGGGGCCAAAAACACCAACACGTTTATTCGATCATTTGTGTGTGTGTGTGTGTGTGTGTGTGTGTGTGTGAGTGTGTGTGTGTGTGTGTGTGTGGGCATTCTCGTGTCTTCAGACTGCTTGGGGTCGAAACATATCTCAAGAGAATTGAACAATTCTTTAAAAACATTTTAAGCGACACAACTTAGATCATTTAGGAGGCGGGCTTCCCACCCTGCCTGTCAGGGCCAACCTAGGTTGAGAGGGATACAATAACAACATCCCAGCAGGAACACAGAAATTATATTCTAGAAAAATTCCCCCCCAGGAATCAAACTCAAGTCTCCTCCGTGAAAGAAGGAAGGAAGAAAGGAAGGAAGGCAGGAAGGAAGGACAACGTTTCAAATGATAAAAAAGCAACTTGAACCGTAACACAACAAATAATGAGGAAAGAATCGGGAAAAAGCCGAGCAACGGGGGAGTTCCCAAGTGAGCAACTGACTCAACACACTCTCTGCTCCAGCACATACAAATCTCTGAGCCGAGTCGCCCGCCCATCCAGCTACAGAGAGAGGAGAGAGCAATGGGATGTCTAGTTAACCTTCAGCTACGGAAGCTGTGTTTGTGTGTGTGTGTGTGTGTGTGTGTGTGT